CCGACCGCCATGTCCAGTGCATCGGTTGATGGCTTTCCGTAGTGTGATGTTTGCTTGTAATCCCGTGGCCTTCTGGATTGGTTCAAGCGACTCGTTGGTGCAGCCAAACATGCACTGGTCAGTGCGTACCCGTGGTCGACAGTCGGGGATGTCCTGGATACACGCCAGTGGGCTATTCCGCCACATTGCTGATCCCCAAGGCTGTTCCCAAAAGAAACCACGCCTTTTCTCATGTTGTCGCCAACAGATCTTCACGAGGAACTCCAGAACTGGACGCTCTGCTTCCCGAAGCCGTCGAGTCTCTTCCTTGCTCCTTCTGTTCGCAGAGACAGTCCACGGTCTGCAGCTCGGTGTTATCGCAATGACGTCCGGGTTCAGGATGTCCTGCATCTCCAGGATCATGTTCTGGTGTTCCTTGTTGGCCAAGTCCCAACCGTACCGATAGTCTATGGGATTCGCCACGACAAGACCGGAGACCAAGGCAATCCAGCTTAATCTCCCGCTTCCACTGCACAATTCCCATAGGTTGGCTTTCCGTTGCCTCTGCTTCTTCCATCGCTGGAAGTTCTGTGGTCGTAGGACAGGTCGGCTGGACTTGTTGTAGAACTCTTCAGGTACTGCTTTGTAGTGGGCGTTCAGCCTGGAGATCTTGTTGTCTTCCAGTCCGTCCGGGTAGTAGTCGCCCTCATAGGTCATGGGGTATTCGTTGGAGTAGTTGAGGTCGTTCGAGCTTGGTGCGCTCCAGAATCTGGTCCTTCCGGTCCAAGTGAAGCCAACGATGGGGTTGTCCACGCGCCAGTTGTCCTGTATCTGCCTGGGTTCCGCCTCTCCAGGCACCACCAAGGTCGACTGCCGCTCATCACGAAGCACATCGGCACGGACTCCTGGAGGAAGCTCCACATCGGTTGGGCTAAAGAGTCGTGCTCGTGGACGTACGTGGACTCGGTCAATCTGGATACCGTGTTCCTGGAAACTCACTTCCCAGTAGTCCTCGGGTTCGTCTCCCTCGTGATCATCCACTATCTCGATGGAGTCTGGTGGATCTTCTTGGTGATGATCTGGCGCCTGTTCCATGTTGGCCGTGTGGACCGGCTCGTTCTTGTCGTAGTTGATCTTCTTCTCTTCACTCCGCTTCAGCTCCGGGTTGTTCAGGCAGGAGTGGACGTAGTAGTTGTGCTTCTGATCTGACCATCGATGAGCACATTGCCTTGCCACGTCCGTCAAGAAGCGTCCCGCCTGGTTGTTCTCCTGATTAGAGTCAGGTTCTTCATCCAGCGGCAGAAGGTAGTGGCCTGAATCAGTCAGGAGTAGTCGTAGCGTATGATGTTCACCCGGCGCCTCGATCTTTGGGATGATCAGCAAGCCATCCCGGTTGTCAAACCATGCCGTGGCTATGGTAGCCTTCATCTTGACGAGGCTCGGATTGCCGATCAAGGCCGGGCACAGAGATCCGGATCCACCGATCACATCTGCCGTGTAGCAGGCGTCCTCCAGCCCACTCAGCATCGGCAGAGGCACCATCACTTCTCCCAAGGTGGTATCCGAGGATCCTGAGATGCCCGTCACGGACGAATTCTTCTCATAGTTCCATCGCAGGCCAGCGCGTACTCGATCTGCATTTCGGCAGTGTTCAAGTAGGTCGCGAAGAGTCTCGCTGCCGATGAGGCCATTGGCCGCTCCAGGGTCGATGGTGAGGCCTCTTCTCCGCAGTCCTCTTACAGAGTGAAAGATCTCGGTCAGCTCCTGCGGATCTGTCTGAATGTTGGCGTTGCACATGACCTGCGTGTGGAAGGAGAGGTTCTTGACCGGCTGCTTCTGTGTCTCTGATGCGGTTGTAGTAGATGAGGTAGCTGCGCCCTTTGTCCATTCTCTTCCAGAGCGAAGGATGTCCTCGGTCTTCGGGGCAGTCTTGACAGAAGAGGAAGCGCTGGTTGTAGATGAGGTCCATGGATCGTCCTGAAACGTCACCGTCTTCTTCTTGATGCTGTTTCTCGAGTCGGACAGGGGCTCGCTGTCCAGGTCATAGTACTCCGTACTTGCATGACCAATATACGTCGGTCGTGCAGTTCGGATGGCAGAGTGCACAAGCCTTCCTCCAATGGCAAGTCCTTCGCGGGCATGGCGCATCTGCGTGTCATAGCGGCTATCGAGGAAGTAGTTCCCATGCTTCCCCTTTCCTTTGGGGTTCCATGACTTGCCGTAGCCCTTGCGGAACTTCCCCTTGCCTTTGCCCTTGCCTTTACCGAACTTGCCCTTCGACTTCCCCTTAGGACGAAAGCCACGTCCCTTTCCATCGCTCTTGCCATAGGGCCTGTTGTTCTCGGACACGGGGCAGTCCTTGGCGTAGTGCCACTTGGAACCACAGATGTAGCAACCTACTCCCATGGCTCCAGAAGACTTGCCCTTCTTGCCTTTGCCCTTGTAGTAGAGCTCGTTCTCCTCGATCTCTTCCAGGCTCGCCTCGTTGCCCTCGTTCTCCTCCTGGGTCTCCGAGGCTGGGTCGTACTCGTAGTAGTCGAGGCCCTCATAGAGCTCGTTCTCATCATAGTCGTAGTCACCGTAATAATAGTAGTCGTCTTCAGACCAAGACCAAAATGGCTCGGTCCCCCAGTCGTCATCGTAGAAGGCGTATGCCTCCGATGGCCAGCTGTTCTCGCCCTCGTCGTTCTCGGTCTCGTAGAAGATGTCGCCCTTGCTGACATGCTGATCATGTCGGTGACTGAGACGTAGAGCCAGCGTCCGTAGCTCATCAAACCGTCCAAGATCACCTTGCACCTGGAGACGAAGGTCATCCACGTAGCGCTGTGACAGCGTGCTCTGCTTCAGCCAGAGGTATGAGCAAGCCACCCGGTTGAGCTCCAGACCTGCTCGGTTCCTTGCATCTTCCAGGCGAAGATTCCACTCCGTGTTGAACTCGGCCAGGGTCTGGTTGGACTGCTTGCGGTACTCAAAGAAAGCGTCAAGTGCTCTCGTGGTCTGCTCCTCATCCGTGTGGCCGAAACAGTCCCTCAAGCTGTCACACAGGGCTTGAACGCCCGATGGAATGCTGCGCTGTATGATGATGGTCGAATCCATGGGTCCCGCACTTCATCGGTGCTCAGCCTGACAAGCGCATCGTCTCCCTGGTCATAGGTGCCGTCCGGGCGGATCAGCTTCAGCTCCAGCGCCAGCCTCTGAGCTTGCCCTTGAAGCCTTCCAGCAACGAGAGGACCCACACATTCGTCTGGTCCTTCGTAGGTTCGGTACCAGAGCCTAAGCTTCTGGAAGAACAGCTTCAGCGGGTACTCGGCGTGGCCAGGTCCCCAGCCCGGCGGGCAGTCCTTGCGGAACTCGCCGAGGGGAATGCCAGAGCTAGCTTGCGGCTGGGCCATGCAGTCAAATTCCTCAGTGCTGGTGTGTGGTGAGATCCTCTGACTCACGGTCAGGATGGACAGAAGGATGCCAAAGGCGAGCTTCACGTCCATAGCAGCGCCCCGCGGGCGAGCGAGCGGTGTGAACCGCAGGGGCCGTGCGTCAGAGCAGGAGACTAAGCTCCGCTACCAGATTCTTGTGAATCCGGTTTTGATCCAGCTCAAGGCGCCTGGTCGCACACAGTTGTGTGAATGTACAAAATCACTCCTGGAGACACCCCCCCCATGGCATGGGGCCTGGAATTTTGGCTTGTCGGATTTGTTTGGAAACTCAGGTGGTGTGTTTTTTTTTTGGAAAAGTGAGAAGAACCTCAAGCTTTCCCAAAAAAAGCAAAAAACAAGACAAAAGAAACAGACCCCACTCCCCAGATCCTGGAGACTCCCCCCCCATGGGGCCTGGATTCTTGGTTTGTCCGGCATGTTTGTAGAAAACTCGAAGTTTTGTTTTTGAGAAAAATGAGAAGAACCTCGAGTTGTCCAAAACAAAGTGCAAACCCCTGGCCCCAGATCCTGGAGACACCCCCCATGGGGCCTGGAGTTTGGTTTGTTTTGGAAACTCTTTTTTGTTGCTTTTACGAGGCTGCTTGAGGAGTCAGAGCATTGGAGAAGTTTGCTTGAGGAGTGCGGCAGAGAATTGATGTCACCTGGAAATGGAATGCGGATGCAGAATTGATATGTTAGAGCAAGTATGGCGAGAACAAGCGATCATGAATCACGCTGCTTTCTCCCCTTCCCGCCTCCACTTCGGGATCCGCCGCCAGTGCTGCTTGCAAAAATATTGTCAAAGTCCGCTGCCTGACCTGCAGGAACTTGCGGTAGTGCAGAGCCTTCTGCCAGAAACGGCCTGACAAGGGCAACTCTTCTAATCATAAGAGACTCAAATGTACGAACCACTTACGAAAGAAGCCGCCGACACCCATGCAGCCCGCAAATCAACCACAGTGCCGTGAAGGCCCGAAATGGCTTCTTGTTTCGCACCCCGCCTATTCGCTTGACACTCGGCAGTGACGGGAAGCGATGACGCAAATAGTCCGCCAAGTGTTTGAATGCGTTGAACCTTTGCCACATGAAGTGCACCCGCGTCTCGGAAGAGACGCGGATCTGAAACATGACTGGGCCAAGCAGAAAGTCATGATCATACCTCAGTGGGGTTCAGAGCAAGGCAGGGGGCATCCACAAATGCTTGCAACTGTGCTGGCAACACTGACCACCATGCCACACTTGCTCTCTCAGTTTGAACAAACTTGCGCCGCTTGCACCTAACCCATCTTGTTTGTTCATGACAGCGCATCTGGGCAGGCTGGAATGTGAAGCAAAGACAAGACACCCAACCACGTCTGCTCGGAACGTCATCGGCACAGCCTGTGCTGCTGCCACCGACCATGGCCCATGTGGCCCACACCCGCGCAGCACGACCTTGCCACGCCCAGCCTGAAAGCCCAAAGCCGCGGTCAGCAGTGCCCCACGAGATCCCACAAGCTACATCCCAATTCCCAGTCATGCACGGCGTACCTGCTTCTCTCTTGCCCATGGCACTGGAAAGCGTTGCGGCGTGACCCAGGGTCAACTGACAATTTCAGGAGCCCCGACGCTCAGGCGTCACTGGTCGGAGGTCATGCCTCGTGGAATGAGGGGGCTGAGAAAAGCTCCCCCCAAGACCAACCCCTCGTCCTCAAGAACTCGCCTCGAGCGCTCCGGCCTCGCCACCAGGCCAGAAGCCTCCTGCTCCCGGAGGTAGGTGATGCTACCCTCGGGACAGCCCAATTTCAACACACGATCTGTGCGAATCCCGTCACTCCATGGAAGGTCTCAAGACAGGCCGCAATCGGCACCAGCCCTTACCTGTCTGAAATGCGCTATGTAGGCCCAGAATGGGCAAACTTAGATTGGGCAGGGCGTTGGACGAAGGGCTTTGCATTTGTTCGCACGCAGATGTCATCAACCTGGCTTCGGCGGCATGCCCGTGAGTCAATTCCTTGTTGTAGATCTATTTCCGCAGCCTGGCTTGCCCGCAGCTCCTGCTCGGGGTTAAATGTCACACGCCAGCGGCACAAGATACACGATCAGAGCATCAGCGTGGCCAGTGCAAACGCAACAGGAGGGGAATGGAGGGGAGGTTTTCCCCAGGGCACAAAGAAGCCAGCGCAATTGCAACGGGGAAGAGGGAGCTGGACGGGGACACGTGCGAACCTCAAATCTCAAACGTGGCAAACCAAACCACGACAGCAGGGCAGAAAGCTGCCAATGCAAACGCGCAGCCCGGCGGGAGCGGCGCAACGTAGCGTGAGCAGACATGGCAGAAAAAGGATCTTGGCCGCAGCGACCCGCCAAATGAAGGCAGCAGAAGATGAGGATGCCCGCAGCAAGTTAAACATTGTGAGCTAGCTGCCTTGGTGTCTTGCACGCGGCGCATGGTGCATGAATGATGCTCGCCTGGTGCAAGTTTGTTTGTTGTGACGCCAATAGCAAGAGATGAGAAGCAAAACTTCGGCTGGACGCCGTAATGTGTTTGCCGGGGTTTAACGTCGTTTCAACATCTGTGATTTAAATCGTGGAGCTGTAACCCAGGCTAAGCCGTAAGCCCCAGCGCTGAGCGCCATCGCCGCGCCTCTGCAGCAAACTCCGCCAAGGGGTCAGCTGTCGGCGCAGGCTTTAGCCTTCGAACGGCCGCAGCGGAACGGCGGGAGTCACGGCATGCGCGCAAACCCCATTGCAAGATCTTCTTAGACACAATCTCAGCTCAAACCGCAGCTCACCGAGGTCCCTGCGCCAAACTGCAAACCCTTGGCTCCTTCAACACAGGCCTGCCCGCTGGCTCTAGAACAATGCGCTCCTGGCCAAATTCTAACGTTCCAAGTTCCAACTCGAAGTTGATTGTTCAAAAGTGGCTGGCATCAAAGTCCAAAGGGAGCAGCCCTGCTGCGTCCTGCCCAGCCCAAGAATCAGCTAGGCGTGCCACACCTAACTCAGGGCAGCCCAGGTCATGCGTCATGTGGGCCTGTGCCTCTCCCAACCCCTTGTTCAAGTGAAGGGCATTTCAAAATTGCTACTGCCCATCGGATTCTCAGGTGGGCGTACCTGGCAATCTCAGGTCTGAACTCTGGGACGAGCCACGCGGCAAGTTCAGTATCTTTACCTCGGTGGAAATCTGATGTTGCATCACGAGAGTCCGCAGTCCAGGCCCTGCAAAGCATTCAGGCGATACTGCAGCCTCGCACACCGCAGAACAAGGGCCTAGCGCTTGTGTTTCTTCCCGAGCTGTTCATGAGCACCCAGGCATCCTGACAGAAATGAATGGGCTAATAGCTGGATCGCTGCGGCATGGTGCCTGCGCAGCCAGCTGCAGCCTTAGCTCCCGCACTGGCAAGTGTGACACACCTGACACACCTGCTTCGGGAACCCGCGATTCAACACCAAGGCAGCAACAAAGAGTTCAGCCTTTGGAAAGGCGTCTCCTTGATGGCAAAGCTTGGTCTTCGCCTCCTTGCAAGGTTGTGAGTCAAGTGGATGTTTTAGCAAACAAGCACCGGCCAAAACACTCTACCAACCTGACTATCCTGACTCTAAGTCTAAGTGTCTTTTGTGTCCCCCGATGTTCCCCACTCAATCAGCTAGCACCTCATCGCATCCAACAGCTCGCCGCTGTGGACTGCCCTGCCATCTGAAGACTTCTCCTTAGACCACGCAGTCTCTCGTGGCATACTTGCAGAGCAATCCTTCAAATGATGGATTTCCGACTCTCGGTTTTTCTGTATATCTCCGCAAGTGAGTCCGCAGCATTGAAACGCTCCCACGACGCATCCCACAAGCTTCCGGGCCTGCCTTCAGGAGCTTCAGGCTGGACAGGAGCAGCTCCAGGGTCTGTCAAGCTCAAGTTCTGAAACGGTGGTCCCAAGGCACGGCGAATGGCATGAGTCAACGGCCTCTCTGGCTGTGTGCCACCTGCCCAGCACAAACACGTGCAAGAACGCAAGGACTGCAGCACAGGGTCAAATCCGCTTTGCTGAAGGCTTTGGCTGCCCCACCCCTAGTTGCAAGGTGTGTAGGGTGTTCTTTCAAATAATGCAGGCATTTGAGTTACTTGGAGTCAGACCCAACGCCTGGCACTGGGGCCAAGGCTTGGCGCGCGCTGGCCTTCTGCTTCGGCTCTTGGACCTTGGAGCTCGGCCCACGGAAGGCCAGGCCAAAAGGCCAGGCTGGGCTGCGAGCCGTTCCTTGAGCTCCTTGCGCCCTGCAAGTTGCGACTGCCCCCCACTGCTTCACGCCGGCCCCAACGACCGTTTTGACACCCAAGGCATCCAGATGTCATTAGTCCGGTGAGCCTCCATAACGCCGCAGTTTACAAACACGGGTGCTGTGATTTATTGTGCGAACACATCCCTGCATCCCAAATGACCAAGATGTCCCGCCAGAAACGCGCTCCTTTGGGCGCAGGCACTTTCAAAGGCCTTGGCTGGTCGTGATGGGGTAAGCACAGCTACACTCGGGTGGAACTCAGGCCCGGTCTTGTTCAGCTCCACCCACACTTCGGTGAAGGACGGCAAAGCCTGAGCGCATCCAGCTGCGGGGCCCAGCCGCCGCGCCAAACACCAGCACTCAGGCGGCAGCCTCTTCGGGCCTGAGGCACGCAGACACAGAGACTCACTCGCAGAGGTGCGAGAAGGCTGGGCGAGCCGCTTCAGCTCCAGCTTCGCTTCCCTCACCTCATGTCGCCGGGGCTGCTTGCTGGGCTGGTCACCCAAGCTGTTTTCACAACTCACTTGCTGAGTGGGTTGGCCAAAGAACAAGTCCAAACTTGTCGGTGGCCATTGAAATGGCTGTCCCAAAAAGTATCAAGTCCATGCACTGGGGGAGTGAACAAATGTTTGGCCCCACTGTGGTTCCTGTTTTCTGCTGTTTCGAACATCCGCTGAACCTCCCACCCTTCAGAGAAACACTGGTTTGGAGTAAAGATGCCTGCCCAATCATGGGAAACAAGAGCGGTTTTCCGGGGGTACCAAGAGAAACCTATAAGACTTTGAGCTGGTATGGGCCTCAGCTGGGCTTCACACCCACTTCCGGTACTCTGCGGAGGCGGCGAGGCGATCAGCCTGGGCATTCCAAGGCTGGCACCCGTCCGTGTACCCTGTCTGAACTTTTGGCCAATGGAGCATATTCCTCAGCATGTTTCATACAGTGTTACATTGAAGGGGCTGAGTTACTGATCGCCCGTGAATTCACTGTCGTAGCTGCGCTTGAGCAACTTGAGAGCCCCTGAGGCCCTAAGAGCCCTGCCAGATCTTGACCTGACCAAAAATTCGGCCAGCCTGTAAAACGCTCCTTGCTTCCGTTGCAAACGCACTTATCATGTTCTCAAGTCATGGATTTTCATGGCTGTGGATGAGGAGTCGTGGAGTGTTGGAGTCGCGGAGCTGAGGCCAGCATGAACGTGCATTCATTCCTTGCAGCAGGGTCCATACGCTGGCGTTTTCGGATAAGGGCATCCTAGATGTTGCCCAAGCTTGCGTTGGTCATGTATACAAGGACCTATCGCCGAAAATCTTGCCGTGCATGGCACAGCCCGCACACGGAAGAGGATAAGGGCGTGCAGGACAAGGTCCCCCGAGGTAGTGCTGTGCGAACTGGCTACGAGGCTTTCAATGCAAGCGTGCGATGGCGAAATGCACATGCAACGAATTATTCCGTCACAGCAGAGCTCTCAGAACCGGAGCCATCTGAGTCGCTGCTGGAGCCAGCTGAGCCTTTCCCTATGGCCAGCCGGTGCACTGAGACTTGCGGGCCTTCGAAGCGACCCACAAGCTTGTGACCTCAATCGGGTGCACGTGAGGCACGCACGCATTCTCAGCCCCGACATGCCCCAAAAAAAAGCCACATACATGCCACCTTGGCTCTTCCTCACCCACCTGTCCACCCCGGCCCCTGCCTCCGAATGTAAAAATGTCCAAACCGCTGCAAACAGCTTTGTGGCCCTCCAGGCGCGGACCGGCTGCTGGGAGCTCTTGCCAGACACCGCTCTGCATGTCCAGCGACCAGGTGTCATCCAGAGAGGCAAAGTCCTGGCCCAAGCGTGACCCAGTTCACGAGCTGCGCAAACAAATGCTGGATACCTTCTTTCACAGATCAGGCTCTCGGTGGCTGGGCGGCACCGCAGAATGCTGCTGGTGGAACTGCGTGGGCGTCAACCCCCCCCAAAAAAAAAGAAAAGATAAAGAAGAGAACACATATTCCCTTGACCAAGTTGCAGTTCATAGCGCAGCTCGACTGCTACAGAGCCTGCCCCGCCTCGTCGCTGTAGCCGCCAGAGACCACCAAACGCCGGCCCAGCGATGCGCCTGCCGGATTCCTCCGGGAGACGGGCATTTCGCCGAGGTCCACGGGGAAGGGGGCTGCATCCCAGCGGGACATGCGCAGGTCCAGCACGCTGGTGGTCCCCAAGAAGCTGTCACCATTGAACCAAGGCCTCAGCTGGGCCCAATGGCTATCTTCGAGGTGGCCGTAAGGGTGCAACAAACGGCCTTGGCAGAAGGTTTGCGACGTGCTTGTTCGCAGCGCTTGGTGCATGTTCTAGTTGCCGAATGTACGAGCCCTGCTTTCACTCTACCCTCCTCCGGAGACTAAGCGTGTGGCGCTTGCCGCCGCACGCCAAAGCAAAGGACCAAGCGATGCGCGTCGTAGTCCACAGCCGCAACGTGTCCCGCTGGCGCAGGCCCGCCGTCACACAGCTTCTCCCACTTCTCGCGGGATGAGTCACAGACCCACACCTTGTGCACACAATCAATCGGCACAGCGGCATAAGCTGCTTTGCGTAGAAAACTAGTCAACGCCACACCTACAAATAAGAAAACAATTGGACCCGAGCTGCTCCATCATGAGAACTGCCGTCACCCAGGCCACCAACTACCGCCATCCGCTTGCCATCTGGCAAACCTCAGAACTCTCCAACCCTTTGCCGGCAGAGCTGTTGAATATTGTTAGCCCTCCCACTCCCTGGGACTTCTGCTGCCAAAAATGCCAATTACCGGGCAACTTCCATCACGCCTAACACACTTTCAACTTTGCTTGTCTTTTTCAAGAACTTCTACGACGCCAGCAACTGACAAGAGGCCGCTGTTCAAACACCAAGTTTTGTTGGCGCACGGCTGCCAACTCCCGGACGTGAACTGAGCCCCTTGCTTCTCATGGTGCAATCACATGCCAGGATAGGCTGTGTGACAAGCTGATTTTGGCAGCGCAGCAAATGCACAAGCGTTGGAAATCCAAAAATGCATTGCCCACCCCCATCACTGCACAATCTGCAAAATCGTTTGGCAGTCCTGTGCTCAAAAACATGTGACAAGTGTTGGACGGCAAATTTGCCACCTGGAACAGTGGGTGCTCTTATCCTCTGCCAGCCTTGCTCTCAGCCCCAAGAGACCGCGGCCGTCTCCCGGATTCCAGGTTATGAACAGGAGGTGTCCTTCGACTAGTGGGAATTCATGACTAGTGGAGGGGAACACCCCCCAAAATAACAAAACGGGCTTGTCCCTGCGGGGTCAACATGAGCGTAGTGAGTACACAGTACACGTATCGTTTGGCAGCAAGTGTGCTTGTGGCGGGCGGCCGCCAGGCATGAATGCCATTTTGGTCTTGTCAGTTTGCGGGCAAATGTGCCTAGCGAAGCCGGAACACATTGCGGTGGTATGATCATGTTCTGTCGGCGGTGATCTTAGAGCGCGCAACTTTGCTCACGGCCCTTGTGTGCACAGAGCGTCTGCTCCAAAGCAGCAGCTTTCCTCTGCTTGAGAAACAGCTTGTTCCTGAGGTCACCCGCTGCAGCTGCGATGGGTGACGACTGCAACATTCATCGCTAGTTCTACAGCCTCTTGCGGCCACCGCTGCAGTGATATCAGTGCAAGCCACGCCGTAGGTCATTGTCTCGATGGCACAAAGGTTGCAAACCAAACAGCAGCAGCAGCAGAAACACCCAAAAGCTGTTGTGGCATCAGGGAGAGTTGCCACTGTGACAGAAAAGCTAGCTCTCTTCCAGCTTACTCAATCATCGGCTCCAACAATCGTCCTTTACGTCATGTACTTTGGGCAAGCTGGCACCCTTGCCTGTGGCAGTGTGGAATGCCGCGGTGGCAGGACCATTCCCATCTTGAAGCTCGTGCCATTCCGGGCAAGCCTCTCGCAATCGGAGTATCCAGGGTTGATCCGTACGACCATCTCCTTGGACATCGGGAGGCCCAAATGACAAAGCAAATCTGCAAACACTCGCCAAGTCTCTACCCCAGCCGCCCCACAGAACAGCTCCAGCAGCTGTCTGTGTCAAGGTGGCTCCCCATCTTGCAGCTGGCCACGGCTGCCCCGGCCTCTCCAGCTGTGCAAAGTTGACCTAGAAGCCGTAGGGTATGCGATGTGGGTGTTGCGGGCTGAACTCAGTAAAAACTCAGGCCGCAGCAGTCCCTGCATCCGCTGGCAGGTCGACCAAGCAAAGGGTCTTCGAGGTCTGCCAGTCGCCGGCAACCCTTCTGGACGTATTGCCTCCGAAGAGCAGCGCTTTCTCACTCCTCAGCTTGCAGGAATGGCAACGAGATGGGCCAAAAAACAATGCACAAATAGCACTCGATGCAGATCAAGATAAACGAGTTTCGTGAAGGTTTCGGGGCTATCAGGGTTCTTTTGTATGTCTCCTGTAAACATCACCCACAATGAGACTGACCTCAAAATTGCCGAAAAGAGCTTGTTGGCTTTTGGACCCACGCGGCGCCCCAGCGAGGCCGCAAACCGCCAGGCTCTGACGCTGCGACACCACCGCGCCCTCCACGGCTGGCGTGGACCAGCTTGCCGGGGTCAGGAAGGTGACGGCCTCCAGGAAGCGGCGTGGGAAGCAAGGACAAAGCTACAAAGTACTCCGCCATGGTCGTGTTCACCTACGATTAGTAATTGGTCTCCAACAAAACAAACGGGGGGCCAAGACTGATTCATCAATGGGTCCTGAATAAAGTTTTGGGAGTTGAGTCCCAAGTACTTTGTTGGGTCCTGTTTTGGTGTGTTGCCAAAACTGCAACACTATCTTTAAAAAAAAATGCCGGCCAGCCAGCCAGCTAGCAAGCCACCTAGCCAGCCAGCCAGTCACCTAACCAGCCACCCAGCCCCAGGTCCTTTGCATCTTTCAACTTTGCCAGCTTGGGCATCCCACAAAAGGGGTACCACACGGGAGCCCTGAATCTCATGGAGAGCCGTCCCCAAATAAAGTGTTTTGACCAGCCCCCCTCCAAAAGCAACAGCTCCCCGTCCCAGCCTCTTCAAAAAGAATCCCCTCATCAAAATGACAAACCCAGCCCGTTCTTGCCAAAGCAAGTCCTTTCTTTGGGTGATGCTCAAAATCCAAAACTACAGGAGTTCCCAAACCTCAATAATATCTTTGTTCAAAAAAGACAAAATCAATCCTGCAAAGGGGGTACCACACGGAAGCCCTGAATCTCATGCAAAAACTTTACTTGAGAGCGGTCCCCAAATAAAGTTTTTTGGCCAGCCCCCTTCCAAAAGCACCAGCTCCCCATCCCAGCCTCTTCAAAGCAGCCCAAGCAGCCAAAGCAGCCAAGCCAAGTCAATTGAAAAGATTCCCCCAAAAAGTGCCATTCCAAACTAGTATTCGCAATACTTAGTTTAGTATTGGTATACTTTTCTGACTTTTTTTGAGGGACCTCGGTTGTTTGGGGGGGTTGATTAATGTCGACCTATGATTAAAAAACCTCCCCCGATTAAAGTTATGTTGTGGGCCGGCACTGATTGATACACCCCCCCGAAATAAAGTTATGTTGGTTTGTGCGTGTTTTTTTGGCGGGGAATCTACACACACTCACAAAAACACACCAAACAGCACACACACACACACACACCCGCTAGCATCATCTCAACCTCTTCCACCAGCTTGTCTGATTGGTCAGTATCTGCCTCGCCTGCCTTAAAATTTCAGATCTACAAAAAATACTAGCTCCCAAACTGCAAACTCTTTACATACTCTTGTTTAAGAAGTGGCCACGAATCAACCCTACAATGAGGTACCCCTTAAATAAATAGTTTTGGTTGCCCCCCCCCCTCCCCCAAAAAAAAACGTGTTTGAGAAGGCTTTCTCAGTAAAAGGCTCAAGCTTTAAAATATGTCCCTTGAAACTTGCTCCCCATGATTTCAATCATCTAGCTTTTGCAACCCCAACAAAATCCCAGCTCCCAAACTGCAAATTCTTTACATACGCTTGTTTAAAAAGTGGCCCCCAATCAACCCCACAAGAGGGGTAATA